CAAAGTCAGTTGAATCGAGGACTGAGGCCCAAGGCAGGGGAGTTCCCCAGCATTGGGGAGGGCCATGTTATAATTATCAGAATGAAGTCAGAGATTATTACCCGTTTTGCTAGGATTCTGTACAGTAACTGGGGAACTAAGGAAGTCAGACCTATTTTGATTTTGATTTGTCCAGATCCTGTAATTTATCCATAGCCAATGGAATGTAAAAAGAGAGAGAGAGAGAGAGAGAGATAGTCGTAAGCTCCAATCCATAATATCGGCAAAATTAGCCGATAATGGATCACCTTCTTCCTCTTCCTCACAGAAGGACCCGGAGAAATGGAGAAATCACGAAGTGCCTTTAGGACTGATTGATTATTTAAAATCATTCTGCCTTTAGGAAATGCTGCTGACTGATGGCAATGCAAGAACTAGTTTAGGCGAGTGTGATGACGTCATCAAAACAATCCAACGGATCGCCATCGCCCAAGTCGTTATCGGGTGCTTCGCTCTCTGATAAAGATAAATCATGAACAGCACTCGGATGCCTTGGACTTCCCTTATTACAGTTGCTGAAGTTTTGGATAAAACTAGTCAACGGTTGTGTTAAATGATCTATCTTCGAGTACAAATCACCGGAGCCGATGTTGTTTAGCTCGTGGAAGCAGTCGGTTGAAGGTCTCGATATTTCCTTCATTTTCCTTATTGTTACGTTTCTTGGAGTCGTTCTTCCCTTTCATGTTCTTCCTTTTCTTTCCCTTTCAGCTTCCCTTTCATTTCCCTTTCACCCCTTGGCGCTTCATGTTTACTGCTTTGCTCCGACATTCCATGTCGTTGAGTCCAAAGAACTTCAAGGGAGGCGAGACTTTCAAGTCAAATGTTATACAAAACAAACAAACAAACAAAGGACTGATGGTTTACCGTTCAATTCTTGAACAAAGTCGAATCCAAAAGCCCCGGGCCGACAAGTGAACTGATTCATGGAATGACTGGGGTACATATCGTTGGGTGCCAAAGCATGCAGTCAAATGAGCGATGTGAAATTTATGTCATTTTTGACAACGTTTATGAATCACACATTGCAATATCTTCATTTGCAGAAGCTATATCAAATAACCACATGTATTTCCTTACTCTTCAAACAGCTTCAGCAGAGGCAGATCAGTCGTGCCGTTGGCAGTGATGGGATGTAGGAAGTCATTGTGGATATAGACTTCCATCTCACACTTCAGGGGAAGCATGGCCTGGAGGAGGTCCTGCAGATTGGGCACACTGCTGGCATTCTTTGCAAGACTGACGGTTACTCTCAGTGGGCTTGAAGGGGAATGCATCAGTACTCTGTAAGGTTAATAGGTATTCTGTTTAGATACTGTATTAGCCCTTTGGTATCACACCCAAAGTTTGTAGTATTGTCAACGGCCAGACTTATTGAAGTAGCATTGGAATGGTAATCTATCGCCATTTCTGGTTGTATGGTAGATGGAATGGTAATTCAGGGGAACTTCACATTCCATTGAAGCTACAGAGTGTGGTGTTTATCATATGGAGGGATAAGCCTTTAGTGTTTTACATGGCACTATAGACACCTGGTCTTGGGGACATAAGGGTGATACTCTATAGGCCTTGTAAACAAGGGCACCAATGTGCTCTGTGCTGGGTCGGCACGGTCAGGATAGGCCGAGGCGCTTGTGTGGTACTTGTGCCGCGGTTCAGTACTAACTGTTGTCGAACGTGGGTGTTTGTGGGAATTTATCTTTGGTAGATTTTCCTAATTTCGGTTAAAACAGTACTGAATTCCGTGTGACCATACGAAGTAGATGAGACTTGGGTCTGCATCTCTTCTACTCTCCAAGGGGAGAATTTGGACTAGTCAGGAGACGAGGGAATTCAATTGTAACAGTAACCTATTAAAGGTATAATATTATTTCATGCGTTTATAATCAACAATTGATATAATACTTAAATAAAGTGAAGTTTACAAGAAGGAAAGTCACACGTAAAATTGGACGTATTATTCTTATAACAAACACTGAGCCCGCTCCGGAGAGAGTGGAATAAAAATCTGTTATCCAGTGGCCTACACGCGAGTATATTTGGTTATATTCCACTTGTTGCCATCTTTACTCAAGGGTGGTAAGAAGTGGTATAGCAGCACTCAAATGACTGCTAGGCAACAACACGCCTTGAGTGCCTCTGCCCGAGTGGTGGCCAAAACAATCAAGTTGAAAGTACAGATAGTCCCCTACTTAAGAACATTCTACTTATGAACATTCCATACATACAAACAAATTTTTTGAAGTACTTAAGTCCAAAAAATTGTTTGAAAGATGCTAGCAAACTTCAAATTTCCCGGGCGCGAATATAGTTCAAGAGTCTGGTACTGTATAAGGTATGTCGTATTTATTGGGATTTATTTACAGGTATTCTTAATGTAAATAAAACTTTAAAACAATGGGAAAAAAGGTAATGGAGACCCGACTTTCGACATACAAACAAATTAACTTACAAACAGCCTCTCGGTCTCCATTATGTTCTTAAGTTAGGGACTTACTGTATGTTGTAGAGCATTCATCTCATCAAGGCCATCTACTCGTACAAGCCATTTTTCAACTTTTCTGTTTGATTGTTTCATTTTATCATATTCTTTGATTCTTTCAATACTTTGCTCACTATTTGTCTCTAGATTAGCTATTTCATCATGTCACAAATGAAAGAAACATATCGGATATTTTGTATAATCAAAATTTCTTTGTCTCCTTTAGTTTTCCCTTTCCTTACACTTTTTCTGCCTTCTCCTAACCATGTTATCCTTGACCAGAAAAATTAAATGTTCAACACCAATTTTGACAAAGGTTTCTAATAACTTATTCTTAAAAGATGTTAATTGCAGTTAATTGATTCTGATCTGAATCTCTTCAAATGCTGATCAGAGTTCTTAATAGATGCTTCTTGTAATAACTATTGACAAGAGTGATCAAAGTTACTAGTGAAGACCATTGATGTTAGCCATTCATAATAGCTACTGATGAGCTATTGATGTTAGATCAGAGCTTTTCAGGTTGCCTCTCATAAGGGAAACTGATTAAGTCTGATTGCATTCTGAAACAACTTTTGTGAAAATATATGGGGTAAAAATACAAAAAGTCATAGTTAAGAATTCATTATTCATATAAACATATATATATATATATATATATATATATATATATATATATATATATATATATATATATCATCAAGGATTGTGACATGACCAAGAATAAGTCATGGAAATACTCTGCAACAGCAGCATCATTTTGTCACTATACAAAAATATGAAATACATATCAGAGTACGAATATTATCAAATTTAAATCCAATTTTATTCACATCGTTCTGCTAAATTTGCTGTTACATAATATTTTTGTGGGTTATAAGTCCACTTTGAAGTTCATTTAGGTATTTCTACAGTTAGGTGTGGCAGCAGCAGAATTGTCTCAAAATGTTCTCAAATGCACTGAGATATATATATATTTTCTTCTTCCTTTTTATAGCATCAATCTGTGTTTTTAATGAAATTAGTCAATTTTGTGTGTGTGTGTGCGCGCGCGCGCGCGCGCGCGTGTGTGTGTGTGTGTGTGTGTGTGTGTGTGAAAGAGAGAGAGAGAGAGAGAGAATCAGTCAATGCAATATTATGTATACATTTATATATTATATATTACATACATTGTGTGTGTATATACATATGAATGTATGTATGTGTGTATGTATATATATATATATATATATATATATATATATATATATATAATATACATATTGCTATATATATGTATATGTATGTGTGTATAATATAATTACATACATATATATACACACGTTTGTGTATGTTTATATGTATATGTATTTATCTGTGTGTGTGTGTGTGTCAGTGAGTGTGTGTGTGTGTCAGTGAGTGTGTGTGTGTGTGTGTTAGTGAGTGTGTGTGTTAGTGAGTGTGTGTGTGTCAGTGAGTGTGTGTGTGTGTCAGTGAGTGTGTGTGTGTGTCAGTGAGTGTGTGTGTGTGTGTTAGTGAGTGTGTGTGTGTGTGTGTTAGTGAGTGTGTGTGTGTCAGTGAGTGTGTGTGTGTGTGTCAGTGAGTGTGTGTGTGTGTGTTAGTGAGTGTGTGTGTCGGTGAGTGTGTGTGTGTGTGTCAGTGAGTGTGTATGTGTGTCAGTGAGTGTGTGTGTTAGTGAGTGTGTGTGTGTCAGTGAGTGTGTGTGTGTGTCAGTGAATGTGTATGTGTCAGTGAGTGTGTATGTGTGTCAGTGAGTGTGTATGTGTGTCAGTGAGTGTGTGTGCCATTGAGTGTGTGTGTGTCAGTGAGTGTGTGTGTGTCAGTGAGTGTGTGTGTGTCAGTGAGTGTGTTTGTCAGTGAGTGTGTGTGTCAGTGAGTGTGTATGTATCAGTGAGTGTGTGTGTCAGTGAGTGTGTATGTATCAGTGAGTGTGTGTGTCAGTGAGTGAGTGAGAGAGAGAGAGTGTGGGTGTGTGTGTTCATGTGTGTGTATTACATAAATACATATATACACATAGATATATGCATACACATAAACAAACACACAGATATCTTCTTGTACTGTGTTGACTTTAACCATTCTTTAGGGAGATTTTTTTATCATCTTGGAAAAAATGTTAGTCATTGCAGAAATGTTACCTCTCTTCATTCAAATATCACACTTTAAGCTTTATCTGTAACTGACTCACGTGTAACATATTACAATCTGCAACCATGCAAAGTAATGCTCTTTTGTGTGTGTGTGTTAACTTCTGTTAGCTTTCTTTCATGCAAAATAATGCTCTTTTTTCTATTTATCATTAACTTCTGCTAGCTTTTTAGTCTAAAAAAAATATAAAATATATCTCAAGTTTTACATTATTGGACATGCAAGCATTTGGCATTTTTTAAATCAATTTCAAAGAATGTGAAATAAGGTGTATTTTTTTTTTTTAAAGGGGGTAACATATAATAATAATGAAAAGAAAAGGAAAAACGTAACGGAAATTCATAACATAATTTATTCGTTTCCCTTGAAGATCAATTTCTCTGTCTTTCAAAATACAATTCGTACAAATCTTATCATGACATTCTCAAATTACTTACTTAAATAGTAACAAAATATTAACATAATGATATCCAATTTAAGTAGAAATTCACAGTTTTCTATATGAAATCATATTACTAATACACATGCAGGACAGACACTTGAATCTCTTAATCACAACAAAAATCACAGATAAAAAAGTCACCCATGTACAAGTGCCTTCAATGAACGACACGGTAATTATGCAAGGTTGTACTGTAAAGTTTACTAGGCAGTTTTCATGTAAGGCACTACATTGGGCACACAGCCTGTTGTGTTCAGTTCTAAGGGTACTATACTCAATACTGTAGAAATGCCCTTATGTCCTAATGTCTACTAAAGAATGCTAAATATCCTGCAAGGACTTATCTATTCTATTGAAGCGAAGTATGATGTAAAGTGAACTACTTTTAGGAACCGTCGACTCTTGGTATGAAAGTTTTTGTAGCCACCACCTGGTCAGTTCGTCCAGGAACGTTAATTTGTATGTTGGAAAGTGAGAGGCGTCTAGAAGAGGGGAAGCAAAACTGGATACTAAAAGTGTAAGTGTATAGAAATGACCATACCAAGGTTCAGGGATAACACTTCAGTTAGCCTGGTTATGTCCGAGGTGGAGTGCGTGTCGTCCTTAAGCCGATGGGAGATATAGATTCATGCCAACGTAAGCATAAAAAGAAGCACTGACGAATTTACTCGAAGACAGTTCTACATCATAGAGCACTTTTCCCTTAAGATTTTATTCTCTTATGGTTTTGGATCTTTTCTGTTTTCCTTTTAATCTTCAAAGGCCATTCTTATCATAAAAGTTAATATTCCACAGAAATACCGCCAATCTTCATTTCCATTTTTATTATTATAATCTATCGACAAGTCACATCTATATTTTACTGTGATTTATTTTAATCCAGATGTATCACGTCTTAATCTGAACTTGGGATTCTTTTGATCTTGATGATACCTTTCTAAAGTGAGGGACTGCATGTGGAGACATCTTGAAACATGAAAGATAATCACAATTGCATTTAATCATAGTAAAGCATGAAAATTCCATAAGACATTCCAAGACCGGTAATAGTTAAAGTAACTTCAAAACTACAAGAAAACGAACTTGAAGAGATAAAATTATACACAATTAGAAAACCTCAAAAGTTATAATACGAAGGAAATCTTAAAACCTTCTAAAACCCGCGGAAATAATCACGTGGCCTTATTAAGAAAAAAAAAAAGGAAATGAAGAACCGTCTCTCTACTCCAATACCCTAGCTCTTGTTCCTGCACCTCTTCAGCTCTGGCTACTGGGGCCTCTTCTATCACGTCCCTGGGCATAGCGTCAGACCTGCCTCCTCCTTCCCTATGCTCGGGGACCAGTCGATATTTTTTTCGTAAAGTACACCTTTCGCATCAGGGTTGAGACAATGTAGGCAGCTTGCTTTTTCATATGCTTTTCCTGGTCATCTGTAATAGGAATAAACATTTACTCTGATCAGTAATGTCTTCATAGCTGATGTTACTCATAGCAGGTAACTATCAACACAAGATCTCTACACTGTAAAAAAGAAATAATGTAAAATTTACAGTAAGTTACTGGTAGTAGAGTTGCCAGTAACTTACTGGAAAGCTTACAGTAATTACAGTAAAATGGTTAACAGTATCTTACTGTAAATTATGCAGTATTACTGTAAATTATTAACAGTAGCTTACTGTAAGTTATCAACAGTAGATTACTGTAAATTATGCAGTATTACTGTAAATAACAGTATCCTACTGTAAATTATACAGTACTACTGTAAATAATGAGAGAATCTTACTGTAAATTATACGGGACTACTGTAAATAATAACAGGATCTTACTGTAAATAATTAACAGTTCCTGCTTTGGACAGTACCTGCTTATCAGTCCTTTGCTTCCTCTTTTGAAAAGTAAAATGGAGAACATCGAATTAAAAATGAGCTTTAAAATGGTTTACCAATCTTTAGAAATTGTAAAAACAATATCTCTAAATTTTAAAAGTAAACATAAATCAATCTTTCAATAGAAATCCTTGAGAGCATATGTATCTTTGTAAAATCTAAATAGGATATCTGCGCTCTGGGTGAGGAGGGCCATGTTCCCCAGTTCCTCTGCTGCCCCTGGCCTCGTCTCCTCTTCCCTCCTTGGCACTTTCTGTTTTTTTGTTTTTTTTAATCTCTTTATTAAGAGTAATTGAAGAAAAAAACTCTCTTGTTTGTTTCTATTAGAAATTATTCTGTGTCTATTTCATTACCTCTCACTCAAAGGTAGGAAACATTTTGTGTGTAGGTAGTGAAAACTCTAGTTACTTTCATTTTCATTTTCTTTGTGAAATTTAAAACAAAAGTATCTTCTTTTTCTTGTTTCTTTCTTTCCTTTTCTTTTCTTTTTAATTCTGGGTTAAAATGGGTATATTTGCGTATAGACTTTACCCATATAATGTAAGTCTTTGGTGTCCAATCTGAGAAAAAGTCGCATAAGCGGTGGGGTGTTGGTATTTGTTGTTTCTTTTCTCTTTGTTATCTGTGATTCTTTTCCTTTGGTCATAGTTTTTTCTTTGAATGTATATCTATTCAAGAGAGCTGTATTAATACATATGTCTACTCTTCATCTCTTTATTATCTTTGCTTATCTTGCCATATCTCTTCTTGTTTGTGTATTTTCTTTACATGATGCCATTCTTTTTTTGCTGCCTGTTAGTTTGCTTATTTTTCCTTTATCTTATTTCTAGTATCTTTATCTTATATTTTCTTTATTGTCTTCTGATATTTTGATTGTTTTTAATAGGCCTAGGGAATTCTGCTCTGACCAGGTAGCTCTAGTTTTTCCTTTTCTCCAAACTATGATGGGGGTGAAGCCGTAAACTTTTCCCATGGTGTACAAATAAAATACTACTAAGGGTAGTTTATTCCTTGGAAAAGCTAGGCCCAAAATAAGTTCTTCAATTGGGCTGTAATTTTAATGAAAAAGTACAACACATCCTGATAGGCAAATATGTGGTCTAGGCTAGATCAAAAACTTATTGAAATGACTGGTTTTACACCCTAGAAAAGTAGGCAAATCCTAATACTGAATTTAGACCCTTATTAATTTTGAAAAGGTGTGACGAAACTGTCTGGTATGAAATCGTAGTGATACAAACAATTAGGTGGTACGAAACATGCAACAACCTAACCAACCAAAACTGTAAGACCATCAACAGACCAGTTACAGTTACAGAGGCCATGTCCTAGCCAACACCCTGACCACACTGGCTAGGTATCAGCAACACGGAGAAATGTCAGTTGCCCGATCAGTTGTTAGGTTTCCTTTGTGCAATTTCGTTTACTCTAACGTTTGAATCACTGCAACTTAACCTACCAAAATGCAACAAATGCGCTGAAATCGTGCCACTTTAAAGATACATATCTCTTCAAGCTAAGATAAAATGGCGAGTAAGATACTGTATAAATTACAGCAAACGTTTACAGTATAGCCTTACCCTATATGATACAATGTCACTCCCTAACTCCGTAGTTATAGACCATTAAAAAAGGAAAGAAGACAGGTAACCCCTACGATCTAGATGACGTGCCCATCACACCATGAAAAATAATTTGGCCTGAGGTGCAGGTGACGTGAACAAGCCGCCATGAGAACCTCTGGCTGCGGGTCGAGGGGACGAGAAAGACTCGCCACGAATGCACTAAGCTTTTGCAGGGCGATTAGGCTGGCATTTAGGAAGGGCTTTTGCATTATTTCCATTGATAAACGAGGGTGGAATGTACTGCCCGTGGGCCATGACTGGAAGGACGCAATTTCCATGCTCTGGATCCTATGCCTGGGCACCATGACCAGCGGCGCAGGTTATGTTACACAAAATTGAATATTACAATAAAGACAACAAAAACAGTCTATAGCCATCTGCATAAAGCAAATCAAATGACAGGCATTGGAAAATGGGAAAATATAAAAATGCTTCTGCCGAGAAAGAGAACAGGGGAGGCACGGAGTCTTCTTTCTCGCGCCCGGCAAAGTAGCCACTTATTTATGGCAAACCTCCACACGAACTATTAAATACTAAGAGCAAAGTCTTCATTGATTTTATTAGATATTCCGCTACAAAGGCACTACAGAGGAACAGAGATGGCATGATAAATTTCTAGTCTAGAGAGAAGACATCCACAAATTAAAAAAAAAAAAAAAAAAAAAAAACACGGACAAAGACCCCCCCCCCAAAAAAAAAAAAAAAATAATAATAATAATAATAATAAAAAATAAATAATAAATAAATAAAATAAATAAAAGCAAAAGATGCTCATAAACAACGAAACCACAGAAAAGAGGGAAAGCAAAAGCAAATACGCATCCTCACCTGGGCAATTGGACTCGAAGTTCAGCATCAAGTTACGGTTCACGCTGGTCATCATGGAGAGTAAGTCCTCGTGCTCACTGTCTTGGTTCAGCACTTCCACCAGCGACTGAATGAACCACGAGCCTTTGGCGTTGTTACGCCAAGAGTAAGTGACCTGACAGAAAAAAAGGGTCAGATGAAACGCCAAGTGTGAGTAGAATTTTGAAAATCATTATTAAAAAAAACTGCAAGAACATGAGTTTAATTACCTATCAATCTAATTCTCTACATACATGCACGTACTAAAGGTATATACATGCATATACAAATACATTTATATATAAGCATATGCATATCCGTACATATAAAAACACACACATAAACGCACGCGCACGCAAACGTATACATACACAAACACACACATAAACGCACGTGCACGCAAACGTATACATACACAAACACACATACCAGGTATGGTGGACCAGCACTCCAGGAAGTCGGCCGAGTTGGGGATCTTATAACAGGACTGGGAGCAGGAGTCAGTCTCGTCCTGCTGGAGGATCGTGCCCGCGTCCAATGTCGTACCACGGCATGCCTTTAGGTGGGAGGGGGAGAGATGAGCTGAGTGGATGGATGTATACATATATATACACATACATATACATATATATATTTATATATGTACATATATCTATATGGATGTGTATATATATACATATATATGTACATAAATATGAGTGTGTGCGTGGAACTGTTAGAATTTATATTTGTTAAGGTGGCGAGTTCGCCTCTCCCATTCTCAACGCCTGTGCAAGATGATGGACAGTTATTGTACGTGACATACGTGGCATTTTTTTAATCATAAAATTTATAATCTAGGAGGGGACAGAGAGGCACAAACAGACAGATAAGTGTTTCCATTACATTCATTACATGCACGTTAAAAAGCATATGTTGATCCCAAATTTTTAACAACAGTACTTGGTATCATATGGCTTCCATTAAAATATTTAAGAATATCAACCTGTAATTTGAGAAATGCAGTGTCGTGAACCAATAAATATACAGTTTTCTTTTCGTTAAGTAATAATTTCTTTTAAAAGTATAATTTTGCAGTTAATAATACATTCTCTGCTCTTTCGATTAATTCCGAGATGCAGCCGGTATTTCCAGACAGAAATAATTGAGTATCATCGGTATAACTCTACAAAGCAACGTGGTAAACTTTCACATAAATCATTCACGTAAATCTAAAACCTAATCGAACCTGACACGGGTCCCTGAGGAACACCAAGGGAAACATTTCTTTGAGGAGATACGGTGTTGTTTGTTTAGTTTTATACATTTCTTTATAAGGATGCCGTGGTTTTCACTGCCAAAAGGTTTGGTAAGGTCTAGAAGTATCCTTGCTATCAGCCAAAAGACTGTTTGACTCCAAAAAGGGCATTAGCGGATTGCTTGCATTTTTTTTTTTTTTTTTTTTAATACTAGCATTATAGAGACTGGACGATGTCCAAGGCTGGTGACATCCTCGCTGTCACCCCATCAATGACGTGAGAAATTTATGTTGGTAATGATAGAAGTGTTTACAATAGTCATAATATAAGATGCAATAACTGGCAAAAAGTCTCTTATGAATCGAAATGGAATCCCATCAGAATCATATGAATTAGAAATGGATAAATCTTTCACATATATATATATATATATATATATTATATATATATATATATATTATATATATATATATTATATATATATATATTATATATATATATATTATATATATATATATTATATATATATATATTATATATATATATATATAATATATATATATATAATATATATATATATAATATATATATATATATATATATAATATATATATATATATAATATATATATATATATATAATATATATATATATAATATATATATATATATTATATATATATATATATATATTATATATATATATATAATATATATATATATAATATATATATATATAATATATATATATATATAATATATATATATATATATATTATATATATATATATAATATATATATATATAATATATATATATATATTATATATATATATATATATTATATATATATATATTATATATATATATATTATATATATATATATAATATATATATATATAATATATATATATAACTGGCAAAAAGTCTCTTATGAATCGAAATGGAATCCCATCAGAATCATATGAATTAGAAATGGATAAATCTTTCACAGTTAAAATGCCAGTGTTGCAGTCCACAGATCAAGTCTAAAGCTGTTGTTGGGACTTTCATTTGAAGTGCTAATTCTTCAGTAATATGTGTGTAAGTGTAGCAGCCCAATTAAGAAAGTAACGGTGAATGAAAATGTTTTTAAAAATTGTTTCAAAGTTGAATACATAGTACTGGAACTCGGCAGCTGTGATCGCCTAACAACACCAAGCCCTATTGTAGGGGTTTGGAGGTAAATTGCATTCTTTGTAATAGTTCATTCACCCTGTTATTAAAATAAGATGTGCTTTAATTGAGTTAAGTGTCTGAATTATTACTAGTTTAATAGTATATGTGACCAGTGGCCACAATTGTTATGTTCAACATGTTTTGTTTGCAGTTTTACGTACGAGTACGGACATGCAAGATATGGATGAACATGTAGAAATTGTATTTCATCAGTTATGGAGAAATAAGGAAGAAGCTACGAGAATTGTTTTTCTCCAGAAGCCATTGAAGTATTCATTCAGTAAACAAATTCCAACAAAAGGGCGAGGCCGCAGCGACAATGTGAGTTTAGATTCGCTTGTGACTTATCATAAGCATCTTTGCCTGCATTTGAAAAGAAAATATCCCACTTAAGTTATCGCTACCATGTACATGTTTACAATTCCTCTTAGCATCAAGAACTTGTTTCCTGACGGTTTTCCACGTCGCAGTAATAAATTCTGCTCTGTAGCATTGTTTTTTGCCTTTGTTAATAAGTGATTAAGTCGCTTCTTCTTTCCTTTGTAATTGTTACGCAAGGTCATATTGAATCTATTACTCTTCAAACTTTTTCTAAGCTGGTCCTTAGTCTTCATTGCAGCTTTGATATCACTGGTTATCCACGGGTCTTAAAGCCAGGTTATTTGCTTCGTTACGATTGGTGCACAGTTGTCTATACATTTCAGGAAAGTATTAGTTAAATTTTTTACTTGTACATAGACATCGTCAGTTTGAAGAATACTGTTAAGAGTAGGAGCTTCATTTAGTAGTGGTTTACAAAGTCATTTTGGCTCTAGTTATCGAGGCACCGAAATGTTTGATACACTTTTTTCGGTTTGCTTATGCTGAGAATAGCAGATATAGGTTGATGATCTGCCTCCGGGCTGGGAATCATGAGGTCTATCAGAGTTGCAGAGGTAGAGGTTATCCTAGTTGGTCTATCTAGGACTTGAGTCAATTTCACATCCCTGATTAATTTGTTAACTTTAATATCTAACACTAATAAATTATCACTGAAATCGCCCAGGGTAAAGACGGGTTTCTTACGCAGACAAATGTTCTTCGAGCAATCTGAAAGATACCTGAAAAACGTTACGTGGGCACGATAAATGCAGCCAACAGTGATAGACGGTAGTTGTCTGCATTTTGCGAGAGTCCAATCCAGCTTTTTCGTTGACCCAGCATCTCAGAAGTTCCATGGCTGCTCCCTGGATGGCTCTGAGGGAGGAGTCTTTCCCAAGATCCGATGGCCTGACGTCGCTAAGATTCGTATCGCCGAGGAGCAGGGTCTGCTCAGGGGCTGGCAGGGGGGACTGAGGTAATCCGGTCCCAGCAGCGGCAGTGATCCGTCCTCAGTCAATGATCTGCTCTTCCAAAGTTGGCACACGATCATTTAGTCTGTTAACAGCCACGTAAGCACTTTGGATCATGTTGTTTAGCTCTTCTATTTCAAAATCCTTTTTGACGAATTTCTCTCTGAGCTCTTGAAGTTCAAGCTGAAGGATTTGCAGCGGGTCGCGCGATGTTGAGCATTCAGTATCCTATCAACTAGTTTCTCCTTCGCTACCCAAATCTTCGTTAAGCCCATGCTGCGACAGTGTTTTTAAAGTTCTAGCTTAGTGAAATTATGGAACAGATAGTAGCACGTTGGATTTTCAAAAGGTGGAGACGTTTTACCAGCATTTATTTCCTGTTTATTGTTCGTCTCCTTCATTTCTGTAGTGTGGGTTTTCAAAGTTCTTCGTCTATTTTTCACTACTGCACATTTTCAAACAAAATGAACAGAGCTTCCTTATTTATGAATTCACGTTTTAATCACTTCAGCATATTTATGTAGGTGAGTGAATGAGTTATTAATAGAGTGATTGAAAGAGAAAGAGAGAGACAAAGGGGGAGGTAAGAAGAGAGGGAGAGATTTCTCAAAGCTAGCTCAAGCAAAATGTAAGACGGACAGCAGTCGCCCCCACCTCTCCCCTCCTCCCAGCTCCCCCCTCCCTTCTCACCCCGAAGGACTCACCTGGATGAAGAAGAGCTTCGGCTTTCCGGCGAGGGTAGGGCACTGGTCAGCTTTGAAATTTTCGAACAGGTAATCGGAGTTAAACGTGCCATCACGGCCCCAGAGAACATCCTCCTCCCCGTGCGACATGAACACCACGGCCAGCGCATCGCATTCCGAGTGGTCTACGAGAGCGACTATCGGGGCAGGAAGGAAAAGTCAAAGCAAAACTAAATAAGTAAAAAGTAAGGGTGTAGGAGAGAATGAAGCAGAGAGAGAAATAATGAGATCTGTTAGTTTTGTTTTTTATTTTTTTATGATTTACTATCTGAATCATTTTCACATCAATTCCATATTAATTCACTCCATGGGAAAATAACATTCAGTGCATCTAACAACAATTTGGTTATAATGGCAGTACACTGCAGTATGATGATGAGCTAATAGCATGTAACAGAAATTGTTCAGGAGTAAAAACCCATTTCTAATAGCAAAAAAGACCCTATAGTCTTAGATCCACGTGAAGCTAATCTCAAAGACTCGAACCCAGCCCCAAAGACCCAGTCCTTACACTCTCGGCCTTCAACGAGCTTCTTGGATACATACGGTCCTTGAGTTTCTCCTCGACCTCTTCCACAGTGAGGTCGTTGTGGACAGTCACTTGGAACCCCAGGTTAGTGAAGAGTGTCTGTGCCTCGTCACGGTCACGGTCTGTACCATTCCTCTCCTGAAAAGGGGTCGAGAGTCATTTAATTACTTAAGAAATGAATCACAATGTAAAAACAAAAATCAATACATGATAATAGAAATATAGGAATGAACAATCTGAGCAAGCACTAATAACATCTTCCACCCCAAAGACCCTGCTCTGTGCTCTCACCGCCTGCTTGTCGAAGTGGCGGTGGTTGAAGATGACGCAGTGGCCACGCTGCTTGTGGCTCATGTTGTAGCACGCAGCATCACGGTCGGTGGACACTCGCGCAAAGCCTTGAGGCGTGCCACCCACACCCCTAGGGAATGAATAAAAAGTAAGACAAAGCAACATAGATTTCTTCATTTGTGTAAACTGTAGAGTTTGACTAACAAAATTTAACATTTTCTTGAGGTCTCCCTAACCCAGCTGGAAAAAGATGGTAATAATTGTTAATGATGGTAAGACATGATGAGGAGGAGGACAGAATATGGATAAAGATTATAATAGTGATAAAAACAATAATAGTACTAATAGTAATGGTAATGATGTAAACATCAATATAATGACATCACCTTTATTATAACATAATCATCATCACCACAACAAACATGATAGTCAATATTAACAAGAGCACCGGCCTAAATCAGCTGATCACTCACGTCTGGCCAAATCCCCCGGCGTCGGTCTCACTGCTGCCGTTGGTTCCCCTTGGCTCCTCGTGCTGGCTCCCTCCGCTGATGGTCTCCATTGCAGCTTGTTCTTACGGTCTGTGAAAATGAAAATGAAGAGCGTTGTAGGAAAACCGATGTGGGAAAAGTTATTTGTACCTGCTTTCTACAATCTTTCTTCAAATTTGTACACTTTAGCGCAAAATTACCTTTTGTGCTAGTACTTTTCTCCAAGAGGTCTAAAATATAATCACAATAATTGGATAAATCTAAGCATGTAGAGCTTTTCAAATCATTATCAAAATAACAAAAGAATAACAATTTTCGACAGTTTGATTCCATAAGCATACTCGGGTAGAGAAAACAACAAATAATATCACCTATTTACAATATTATAAAAAAATAATCCCATCGCCTTTGCAAACAAGAATTCAAAGAATTCGCAAAAGCCAGAATGCATAACACCTGAGGTTTCTGAAAAGACACGTGCACAAAATGCAGTCATTATAATGCCGTCAATGCGCTTGTCCTAATATGGTGCCAACCTACCTGTGCGTGTGGTACAACTGAAAGCAACCGCAATGTCCATATATGTGTAAATATTTCACTTTGCAAAAATAAATATGAAAAAAAGTTTATCCTTCAATATCATCTTGTTACTTGTATGTCACAGTGTAAATATTTGGAGAGATGTGGAATTGTGGTTAATGAAAACGGTCTATTTCTGTTTGATATAGCATACATTAAAGAAAAAATATATGTTAATTTAAGTTTGTTATCCGCCGGCGGTGCAATTTTGACATCTATCCAGTGTTTACAACGAACAAAATAGGCATCATACATTAAAACCAAGGCTAGATGATTCAAAACCAAGACAGGACAGATGACATTCAGATAGTATCTTTCCCGAAGCACTGATGATGAATCTGGCTGTAAATTGTAATTAGGCCAGTTTTAGGCGCACCAACTGCAGCGCGCGGGATGCATCAGGCGTTCCAACTAGGCCCCGCAAGGAAGGGGCTTTTTGCAGTTTAATAATACGGTTTGCGATTGCAGGGCTACCCGTACCTTTCCCTGGGGCCTGAATTGCGGAGCCAGCACCAACGTCTTCATCAAGGAGGCTGTAAGGAAGTCAATCAATTGGAATTTGCGAAGTTCTAGCTTCGCCCGGACCTTCGGCTATGGCCCGGCCATAGAATCGGACGGTTGCATGTGAAGTGGAAGGAAACAGAATCGTTGGCATATCACCTCGGCGCCTGCTTTGGCCATGTCCCGCTTTGACAGAGCTAATTCGTGCACTAGACACACACACAGTGCCAAATATACGCTTAGTGACGTCACCCGAGTGGCGTATGAGCTGGCCAATTAGGATACAAATTGTTTCCATTGACAGATCATTATTATTGTTTTTTTATTCTTTGTCAGTATCAGTATCAGAAGTGCAACAAAAAATCTGCACTCTTGTTTAAGCGAAACTATTTGAATACGCTAAAGCTTACAAGACAAAGGGAAAGACATATTTCCCTTACAAATACCTTGGTTTTAATACGGCCGAATGTTTCTCGAGGGGTGTTGGGAGGGTAGCCCCCCATCAATCCTTTCCTCGGGCAGTGGCCGAAGGGCACGCCCAATCGCGGCAACTTAGATTGTTGGATAAGCTATGTGAGGTGGAGTAGGGGGGCGTCTCTGGCGAAAGCGTCCATACTGTGAATTGCCGATTTTTCTCCTAAAATATTTTGTGGGCCATGTGCCCAGTATTGACTTTAAAATGTGAATGGCAGTTTTGTTGACTAGGCAGTGTGCCCGAACGCTACGGAAAGGATAAAGCGACGAAAAGGGTAAATAGCTAATAATGAATAAACGTCTTTTTCATGCCAGAGTACAGCACCATTGCAGCGACTCTGCGCCCCCCCCCCCAAAAAAAAAAAAAAAAAAAGAAAAAAAAAAGAAATCCAACTCACGCACTGCGCCGAAGTGTCGTAGACACATGAAGGCATTACCACATGAAGAACGCGAGGCCGAAGCGGATGCTATATGAACGGCCGAAACGAACAAGCCGGGACGAGACATCAAAAACAGAATAACATTGCGAGGACTCGAGCGGACTCCACACAAAAAATGTGCTCAACAGGACAAGACGCAGATACAGAAACTAGAGGCGCACCATGACGTCAAAGTGTTGAAACCATCTCGTGACAAAGTGACGCCATGTGACGGACCAACAGAAGCAAAAAAGAAGTCACGAGTGCAAAAACGAGTAGTTCTAAGTGATCGCAATATATATCACATAAAAATAGTCTGGGAACAAGAAAATAACTCGGGTGGCAGGGAGAAAAAGTTTAAAGTGATAAATACAACGTTGAAATTTTACTGGGACACAGGAAAGTCCTGATACAGGTATCTTTCAAATCAGTGTAAATAAATGATATTATATCTATAATAACTGTTAAGGGTGTGGCCGGATTGGCCCCCATATCGTGAAAAGACAGGCAACGGCGGACTAGATTTCGGAGTAGCATCCAGTAGCCATGTCATTTTTTGTGGCACATCTTGGTGAGCTCAATTGAAGTGATTTAGTGCCGTATCTTAAGGGAACATAGTGGACGGGAGTGTACTATGGATAAAGTGGATTAAGTAGGATTACGGATTATTTCTAAATTTATGTGTGGCACTATAATGGGCCAAGAATTGTATTTCATTAATTTAATTTTGGAAATAGGAATTGTATAATGAAATAATTGTAGATTTGACTTTCAAGTTTTTAAAGATTGATATAATTGAATACATATAGATTTGAATTTTAAGTGTAAGGATATATTAAGTTAGAAAGTAAGGAATAAATGAATTACCTTGAAGAGATCTCAGCTCTACGGAAGCGTGATTTAACAGTTTTGAAGATTATTAATTTCCAGTGGAGCGTAAGAATAGTTTTGTTTGCATAATGTATGTATCAGTTAAGTATTTTCTTGCTTAATTTAGTTACTGCTTAACGAGATTAATTTAGTTTTATTGTTGCTTGATTAGGTATAAGATAATTTTCTTTACATTTTCTTCATATGCACTCATTTACTTTTTAATGGAGATAAGTTTCACTAAATAATTGTGTAAGGACATTAACTTAGTATTTTAATTGCTTGGTTTAAGTAGTTCATCTTGCTTAAATATAATTTTCACTATTTTGTGTAATGCAGTTTATTTACTAATAACAGAAACAATATTTTTTTTTATGATTTCAGTCATTGCATGTGAAAATTGAATTCTTTTACTCATTGCTTATAATAATTGTAGGTACTGATATTGTTTGCTCTATTTCCATAATTAATAACGGCTTACTTAAATTGAAATTATATTGTTGTTTGCATGTTAACATTTAGAGCTACTTGTTAAAATCAAAAGATGGGATATTTAAGATGGTATAGTTATTGTATATATTATAATGAACTCAGATGTTATATCACTGGCATATCAATTTATGCGATTGGCTTTACATTTTTCCTATATAATATATATCTATATATATTTTTTTTTTTTTTTCAATTAAGAAATAATGTATAAATTTTCTAAAAGGTTAACTTTTCCTCACATTCATCTTCACTCATCGATACAAGTTTGACGAGTTAAATCTGTGAGTGAAATGTGACTAATATGAACTATAAAGATTATATCAGACACTGAGGAGATAATATATAAATGATGAAAAAGGGATAATAACAGAAGGACTTCCGAAAACGGGCTCTCAAATTCACCTTAGTAATGTTTTTATTTCCCTAAAACCTTTGAGGTAAACTAAACCATTTCTGACACAAACACGATTCTATTTCATTTCTTACTGTGGCCGTTTTCCTTTAAACCATTTCTGTTTACAAGTGCACCACAAATTAGCCTTTATTTAAGTGCACGAAATCCTGTAGGTATTTATTCCACGCACTGAAATCCCTGTAATCCTTCACATCCTTTGTGCTCATTACACTTAGTGAAAAAAAAAGAAAAAAAAAATACACACGTCTTAACGAGTTTTCTAAACATTCAAATCAGGAGACTCACTTCCCCCTAAATCCAGACCGAATTCCAATCAACACACACAAAAGTCGTTAAGTAAAAAAAAAAAGCGAAAATAAAATAAAATACGGAGTACAAGATAGAGGAAAAAAGAGAAAGCCAACAATCGCTCGAGTCAAAATCACTCCAATTTCCCTCCGTTGCGAGAGCAGAAGAAATACATCCTAATTGTACGTCAAGTAAACAAGCCGATTCGCCGATTCACAGTAATAAGGGGTCTTGTTTCTTACCATATATATACATATACGTATACATATACATATATACATGTATGTATACTGTATATATATATTTTTTCTCTTTTTTTTGTGTGTGTGTGCGTTTGTGTGTGTATTCTCTCTCTCTCTCTCCGTACCTGATCATAAATGATATTCATAATAACCGGTAAAATACAATTAAAAAAATATATATTCACCTAGCGTAAACACCCTTTTCATTCCGAGACTTAATAATAAGGGAATAAATAAGTAACAATTAATAATAACGAAATAGACAAGAGAATAAGAAAGACATTTTATTATTTATCTCTTCGATGTCTGTTTATTTATCTATCTGTCTATCTGTTTAAGTTTGTATATAGAAATAGGTGTGTGCGTGTGTGTGTGCGCGTGTGTGTGGTCTGTGTGTGTGTGCGCGTGTGTGTGGTCTGTGTGTGTGTGTTTGTGTGCATTTATCTATTGCATGTGTAAAACACGGACGCGAATCTACAATCATAAATCTATCAATGCACTTTACTACTTAGTATAAAAGGGAGGAAATATATATAAAAAAGTAATTTTATCAGTAACTTCATGAACGAAAAAATGACATATTAAAGAAACAATTGAGGGATACATATACATGTGTGTATATATATATATATATATATATATATATATATATATATATATATATATATATTCATCAAAATACAGTATAAAACAAACTTGATTATATTCACCTTGTATGAACACGCTTTTCACACACAGATTTAATGATAAAAAAAGCACAAATAATAATTTAAAATTCATTATTAAGCAGAAAAAAGTAAACCGTACCTTTTATTCTTTAAAAATGTTATCTCTTCTACGGGAGAGCTATTCTGTCTCACTTGTTCACTTCTGTTATTCGGTTGATATGTCTGTTTACCTCTCGTGCTTCTCTGCTTTTGCTTGACTGAGAGAAAATAACTGAAACTCGAAGTTAAAAAGGTAACAGTCTCTGACGTCATGCCTGGGGGCGGAGCCTAAAGCTCATCTTTATCAATTTTCTAAGAAGAACGAACACCTACCTCCCCCCCTCCCCCCCTCTCTCTCTCTCTCTCTCTTTTCTTTATTAATCTTGTGCTGGTGAGAATATGAAGAAAGATAAAGAGGGAGAAAGCCGAAGAGGAATGTGGCTTTGAGGAAAGGAAAGGACATGCAAATGCGATTTTCACACCGTTAAGCGAAACAAGTATAGAGATGGAAAGAAATATGTATTTGTAAGACAGATGAGAACACGTAAACAGAAAGAAAGAAAGCTTATCAGGAAGAATCTCAGGTAGCAGAGCAAGAGGAAGAAGAAGGGAGAAGTATATGGACGGAATAAGAACAGGAGATGGAAGCAAGTTGCTCATTTACTGCAAGTGATAAAAGAGGTGTGGTGATCCAGAGTCGCCAACGTCTGAAGGCACTACACATCGCTAAGATATTTATGAATGTACATACATGTCCGTATATGAATATGGTGATTAGCATCATACTTTCCTTGCATCATATTTTCCATTATTCCTATAATATTATTCCATCAAAAGCGACTGATGTTTTTGTAGAACCAGAACCTTACCGGATTTTCACAATTTGCATGGGCACTTCAACGCATTGTTCCCTGAGATCTAGCTGACACGAAAAGCAAAATCTCCCTCCTTAAACTACCCGACGAAGGCACATCGTTGGAGGGGGAGGAGAAGCCAGTGTTCCTGGAGTGCGCTTACACCTACGGATGAATGAGAACCGTAATAGGCTCACGTAACTGTAACCGGGAACATTTCCGTGAAACTCTGGAGGCGCCCCATACCCATACCCATAGAGCGGCTCGGACCCAGCATGGTCGAACAAGGGCTCCGTTCATAACACACACGGAAATTCCACTCTGTCGTGGGCTCCTTCATAACGTGTGAAAGTGTGTTTGTATCATGTCTCTCGAACAAACGTCTGTAATGACTGCTGATTGTGAATGATGTGTTATGTTTGTGTCTGGTGGTCTTGTCACAATAACTATTGTAATTGTAATAATGATATATATATATATATATATATATATATATATATATATATATATACGTATGTATAAACACACATATATATATACATATCTATATATATTACATATATATTATATTTATATACACAATATATATATATATATATATATATATATATATATACACATATATATATATGTATGTCTACACACACACTTATATAAATAGGTATGTGTGTGTGTATTTACTTACTATTTTTCCGGTGCATATTTAAAACATGGACGTGAATCAGCGATCATAGATCATATTCATATTGATAGTATAAAAGAGAGCAAATATTAAAAAAAAAAAGTAATCTGATAAGTAACTTCATGAGTAAAAAAAAAAATTAACAGATATTAACAAAATTTTGGGAAAAGTTGATACGCTGGCTGACGTTGTTTTCGTCAGAATAAACTGTTATAAATACGTCTTAAAAGGTTAGCAAGGAAAAAATCTGATTATGTAATATTACTTTAAAACTGAACAGTAGCTTTTCTCTTTTTCCTCTCTGTATTTTATATTCTCTCTCTCTCTTTACACACACACACACATATATTCTCTCTCTGCCCGAGTATGATAACAAATGATAATATTTATAATAACCAAATCATTGAAACAAGTTCACCTAGCATGAACACACTTTTCATCCCTAGGCTTAATAATAAATAAATGAATAAATAATAACTGATAATAAAGAAACAGATAAAAAAAAAATATTCTTTCAATTATTCATTGTACAAAACCCCCCTAACGGAAGCCGCCTTGCCGCGGTGGAGGGGCTTGAGGTCCCAATGATCTGGTGAGCCGGACCAGAGGGTTACCCATACTGGAGGGGTCACCAGTGAGGGATGAGACTAAATGGCTTCCTGGTGCACCAAGGCCTATGAGAGGGGATGGTGCACCCACCCCTGGTTCATTCCATCTTGGACTAGGGAGAACTCTCCCACGTGTGTCTGCCGTGCGTGACGTCCCGTATTGCCAGGAGACAGGAGTCCTGGAGGTTGAGCAATGCTGCACGCTGCGCCCACAGCTAGCAACACGCCTCTTTGGTCCTCTATTCTGGTTAGACGGGTGGCTTGATCAAGGCCCGGCCAAGTCAATCGGCTGGTCAATATGGCTAGGGTCATGGTGGACGGGGGGGTGAGAAAATGAAGATTTCTAACTTGTATGAATTCTACACATTTAAAAAGAACAAGCTCTCTCCCTGACGACCTGCGCAACCCCTTGGCCAATCCCTATGGAACATCACATGTCACTCTGGAACCTTATCAGATTTCAGAGGGCAAGAATGGGAATCGTAATGGTTCCCGAGCTCCCAAACCAGGTGAGAAGGAGAAAAGTCCTCCTCAATCCATTAAGGAAATCTTACCTGGTAAATATGAAAGTATCTCATATAGTAAATACCTAGTTGTGAAGACCACATCGGAAGATTGTTGAGGTATGTCAACGTGATCCTCGCATCACCCCACAGCGAGATGGTAGTCTAATAGTGGAGGTTTCATCACTAGACGAAAGTGACCGTTTGCGTGCAATATGCAACATTCCTGGGACTCAAGTCTCATGTTCTCACAAAACACTCAATCAGTGTAAGGGAATTGTTTTTTTTTCCCGAGACCTGATGAGGTATTCTGAGGAGAAACTGTTAGAAGAATTAGAGAATTTTAATGAATCAGTTAAGTTGGCTTGGTACTACCTCTAGGTCAAGCCATATGTACCCAACCCTATGCAGTGCTTCCACTGTCAGGGTTATGGGCATGGAGCCAACTCTTGCCGTTTTAAGAAAAATGGACAACCAAGAGTGTGTGTGAAGTGTGGTACAACAGGTCATCAAGGAGATGACAACTGTCCAGGTCCAGTATGCTGTTACCACTGCAAAGAAGAACATGAAGCTTCTTCTAAGCAATGCAAAAGATACAAGTTTGAAAAAGAAGTATTGGTAATAAGGAGCAAGGAGAAAGTTAGTTTTGCAGAAGCAAAGCGACGTGCCCGTGTGCTGTTTGCACAGCCGGGTAAGTCCTTTGCTTCAGTTCTAGCCCATCCTCCTTCCCGCCGTCCCTTACCTTTCAATACTTATAACACCACACACTGCCACTACCTTTAAAAATCAGTCCGTAAATGATGAAATTTCCTCTGGTGAGTTGTTCCACCAGAAACGGAGTAGGAGTGAAGGGTCTGTTGAGGAATGTTCCTCCCAAAGTAAGGTCTTTGGAGCCTTCAGGTAAGGCTCCAGAGGCCTCAACCGTGACAGCTTCAGCTGCCACCACATCCACAGGGGCCTCTGCTGCTAAACAGAATGCTCCTGAACCAAAGGCTCAGGTCCGTCCTTTGCCCAAGCAAAGAAATCCTGAGCCTGTCCAAAGGAAGCCTGTGGAAACTAGTTACACAGGGAAACAAACCATCAAAAGGTTTCCCCAGGATACTGGAAAGGGACAGTCTAAAGGTGTGGGGCGGACCTTAACCACAGGTGCTGCCAAACACCTTATGAAGTAGCTTGTCAACCTGAAGAACTGGATACCCTAATCCAAGGGAATTCATGCAAAATGGGAAGAACTGCAACATCTGATAGCTTCTTGTAATCCAGTTTGCCTATGCCTACAAGAGATTATGACCAGGGAAAATCGTCCAATTTCCCTGAGAGGATTCCAAGTTCAAGCCCATTATGGGACCTTTGATAATGGACCTCATGGAGTAGGAGCAGTGATGGTACATCAGGATATTCCCTTCCAGGCCATCCACCTGCAGACGACATTGCAGGTGAAGGCCGTGAGAATAGGCTTGTCACGACCTTACACTGTTGCATCCATCTACCTCCCTCCACATAATCTCAACATAGATGATTTGGAAGATTTACTTGGGCAGTTGCCTCATCCATTCCTACTCTTGGGAGACTTCAATGGTCGCCATCACCTCTGGGGAGACACTTTGTGCAACCCTCGAGGAAGGGCCTTGGAGTCCTTGTTCTCAAGAGTAGATGCTGTTTTACTGAACATGACGCACCCACACATTTCCAAATTCAAACAGGGACATTCTCTAATATTGACCTGGCAGTTGGTTCACCTGATTCACATTTGAATTTCACTTGGCAGGTCATGGAAGACTTACATGGAGGTGACCACTTTCCAATACTTTTGGAAGAGGTGAATGGCATTCCAGCCAATGGAGTGCAGAGATGGCGACTTGAACATGCAGACTGGAATCGTTTCAGATCAACTGCAGTATTGCAAGGATCTGTGAATGATTTCCAGTGTGTTCAAGATGCTGTTAATCACTTCACATCGCGGATTCACCTTGCAGCAGAAGCATCAATTCCCAGAAGTAGCGGGCAGTACCGTCGACCTCCGGTACCATGGTGGTCTGATGAATGCCAACAAGCTGTCAGAACAAGAAAAGCTGCATTAAAGCAGTTGAAACGACGCCCAAGCGATGTAACCTTGATCCAGTACAAAAAGACCCAAGCCAAGGCCAAGCGAGTGTTAAAGGAGGCTAGACGGACATCATGGAGGCAGTATGTCTCCTTGATTAACTTTGGGACCCCCTTAGCATGGGTATGGGACAAGGTGTGTAAGATCGCTAGAAAGAGGACATCCATATCACCACCTACTCTGAAAATAGATGGCATAATCCTCACAGACAAAACGGATGTTGCAAATAAGCTGGCGAAATCCATGGCAGAGATCTCGTCTGGAGCTTCTTACACTGCCCGATTCTCCACTCTTCGGGCTGAACAGGAACGACACCCAGTGTCGTTCTTCAGTAGTACTGCAGCAGAACTCCCATACAACTTGCCATTTTTGCGCAAGGAGATGGACTCTGCTTTGCAGCTCTGCCGTTGGTATTCCATACCAAATGATATCTCACCGGAGAGCTCCCAAACGTTCCTGTTGGATCTATTCAATAGGATCTACAGGGAGGGAACAGAGCCATCCACATGGAAAGAAGCTATAATCATTCCTGTCCCTAAACCTGGCAAGGATGCTTCCATACCAGGGAATTATAGACCATTTTCTCTCACCAGCTGTATCTGCAAGTTGATGAAGAAAATGGTAAACTTCAGGTTGACATGGCTGCTAGAAAAAGAAAACGTGCAGACCCCATATCAATATGGGTTTAGAAAACTGAGATCTACCACAGATGCACTTGTAAGGATGGAAACTGCTATACAGAATTCCTTCACACAGCGACGCCATATGTTAGCAGTCTTCTTTGACCTTGAAAAGGCTTATGATACGACTTGGAAGCAGGGCATACTCATGAAGCTGTATGACATTGGTTTAAGAGGAGCATTGCCAACCATCATACAAAGCTTCCTTGCTAACAGGAAGTTTAGAGTGAGGGTGGGAAACAGCTTCTCTAACCTGGAAAATCAGCTGGAAGGAGTCCCACAAGGGAGCGTCTTAAGTGTGACCCTGTTTGCCATTGCTATAAATGACATCTTAAAGGTTGTTCCAAGTGCTGTCTCATGTAGTCTGTATGTGGATAACTTTACACTGTACTGTTCAGGAGGAAGCTTGGAGGACGTGCAAGGACACATGCAATAAACACGGACGCAAATCTACAATCATAACTCTATCAGTGCACATTATTACTTAGTATAAGAGGGAGGAGATATATATATAAAAAAGTTTTGTTAAATCATGTAATAAACTCATCGTTTTAGGCAGAATCAGCTGATATAACAGATTAGTTCGAGGAAAAAATTCTGATAATGAAGATAAGATTATGCATTACTCATACTTTGCAGGCGAAGAGTTCTTTTTCTTTTTCTTTTTCTTTTTCTTCTCTCTCTCTCTGTATATATATATGCGGCTGAAGTGGGGGGCAGAGGGGCGAGCGCCCCCCCCCCCGAATGAAAACTGGAGGGGCGAGAGTATATCTCCCCCCCCCCCTAGAAATTGCTGAAAAGACTGTGCTTTACATATGGTTTTACACGTTCACGCAGACTAATAAAAATAATGAAACTTCTTTAGAGTGAAGTTTTCTGGATCAGACCTATAACCGTCCTTCAATATACATCGAATTCTTTGTCCTGAACAAGCTTCATCCTTTGGCTCCTTGAGTTCATTCAGTATGTAAAGTGCAGAATAGAAATCCTGCATCCCTCTGTGAGAGTAACTATATTTGATCACAGTGCCTGTCTTTGTCCACATACTTCTCTGTACAAAGAATGCTCTGATCACTTCAGCCCATGACAGTCTCATGTCCTCACATACCTTTTTCAATGTCTTTGACTTATCACTCAAAATCAACCCTTCTTCTCTTTGTCCATACAAAGCTAGCCTATACAGTTCTGGTCGAAACTGGTCATTTATCTTCTCTGCAATATCTTCAGGAAGTTGGTCATTACATTTATTATTTTTTGTTAGTCTATCTGTAAGTTCTTTGTCAATCAGAACTTTGGTTCCCTAAACGGCTCTGTTCCAGTTGTTACTGCATTCAGAATGTCTGGCCACGGCACCCACCAGTTTGCCCAAATGAAGGGGAATGCACCAGTACTCTGTAAGGTTAATACCCATTGTTTAAATACTGTATTAGCCCTTTGGTATCACATCAAATTTTGTAGTACGCCTTAGTGCCTCTGCCCGAGTGGTGGCCAAAACAATCAAATTGAAAGTGTGTTGTAGAGGATTGATCTCATCAAGGCCATCTACTCGTACAAGCTGTTTTTCAACTTTTCTGTTTGTTTCATTTTATCATATTCTTTGATTCTATTAATACTTTGCTCACTATTTGTCTCTAGATTAGCTATTTCATCATGTCACAAATGAAAGAAACATATCAGATATTTTGTATAATCAAAATTTCTTTGTCTCCTTTAGTTTTCCCTTTCCTTACACTTTTTCTGCCTTCTCCTAACCACATTATCCTTGACCAAAAAAATCAAATGTTCAACACCGATTTTGACAAAGGTTACTAGTAACTTATTCTTAAAAGATGTTAATTGCAGTTAACTGATTCTGATCTGATTCTCTTCAAATGCTGATCAGAGTTCTTAATAGATGCTTCTTGTAATAACTATTGCCAAGAGTGATCAAAGTTACTAGTGAAGACCATTGATGTTAGCCATTCATTATAGCTATTGATGAGCTATTGATGTTAGTCAATAATATTTACTGATAAAAAGCAGAACAGAGCTTTTCAGGATGCCTCTCATAAGGGAAACTGATTAAGTCTGATTGCATTCTGAAACAACTTTTGTGAAAATATACGGGGTAAAAATACAAAAAGTCATAGTTATGTATTTATTATTCATATAAGCATATATATATGTCATGAAGGATTGTGACATGACCAAGAATAAGTCATGGAAATACTCTGCAACAGCATCATCATTTTGTCACTATACAAAAATATGAAATACATATCAGAGTACGAATATTATCAAATTTAAATCCAATTTTATTCACATTGTTCTGCTGAATTTGCTGTTACATAATATTTTTGTGGGTTATAAGTCCCCTTTGAAGTTCATTTAGGTATTTCTACAGTTAATTCTTAAACAGAAGACAGAAATAAAAAATAACAGTGCTGCTTACTATTAAATATCTTCAGACAGAAAAAAATTACCCCCAAGATTTCTTAAATCATTCCTACACTCTACTATGCAATATATGTTTTACACTTAATACTTTTTATATCACTTTAGTATCACTCTACGGTATATTTTCTGAAAGACTTTTAAACAAGCAATTGCTTTAGCTCAAGGAAAAGTGTGGCAGCAGAAGAACGGTCTCAAAATGTTCCTAAATTCACTGAGATATATATATATATTTTCTTCCTTTTTATAATATCAATTGGTATGTTTCTAATGAAATTAGTCAATCATATGTGTGTGTGTGTGTGTGTGTGTGTGTGTGTGTGTGTGTGTGTGTGTGTGTGTGAGTGTGAGTGTGAGTGTGAGTGTGAGTGTGAGTGTGAGTGTGAGTGTGAGTGTGAGTGTGAGTGTGAGTGTGTGAGTGTGAGTGTGAGTGTATTACACAAATACATATATATTACACATAGATTTATGCATACACATAAACATCCAAACACACAGACATCTTATAAAATGTTGACTTTAACTAGTCTTTAGGGTGATTTTCTCATCTTGGAAAAATGTTAGTCATTGCAGAAATGTTACCTCTCTTCATTCAAACATCACACTTTAAGCTTTATCTGTAACTGACTCACGTGTAACATATTACAATCTGCAACCATGCAAAGTAATGCTCTTTTTTCTATTTATCATTAACTTCTGCTAGCTTTTTAGTCTAAAAAAAAATTATAAAATATATCTCAAGTTTTACATTATTGGACATTCGAGCATTTGGTATTTTTAAATTAATTTCAAATAATGTGAAATAAGGTATAAATTCTTTAAAAAAAAAGGGGGGTAAATCATAATAATAAGAGTGAAAAGAAAAGGAAAAATGTAACGGAAAATCATAAAAAAAATTTATTAATTTCCCTGGAAAATCAATTTCCCCGTCTTTCAAAATACATTTCATGCAGATCTTATCATTAGAGACCTTGACCTCAGGAAAAATTGTATCTATTCCCAAATTACTTAAATAGTAACAAAATCTGAACATAATGACATCCAACATAAGTAGAAAATCATCTTTCTTAATAGTAGAAAATCTCTTTTTATAGTGATGCCTGATGGGACAAGCCTTCAGACTCCAACAACACCTGAAGTAAAATTAAAGTAATTGTGGCACTGGCAGACAGCTCAGACTAGACGCAAGTCAATCAACTCTCCATCGCCAAGAATGAAAAGTTGCAATAATACTCCAATTTGAATAGCGAGAAACCTTGTCAGTTATATGACTTTTATGGCAGCTCGGAAAAAAATAAAGAGAGAAAAATCTGAAACAGTACAGTGACAACATACAACAAGTGACAAGAAGAAAATATTACATACAGAATTCACACAATATTTTTCAATCACCGAGACTGTAGTTTCGCTTCTACACAGATATTACAGAACGTAACGCTAACTGAACCAATTGCTAAAAACTGAATCTCCTTTTGATCAGACTCATATGGAATTTACTTTAGAGTACAATAAAAGCCTGGCTTTTGACTTTTAAACCCACAAACAAAGCAATGCATTTTTTGTGAATTAAACCTTTTTTTGTTTTTTTTAATTATCATCATAGCGTTCTGGGGAAAAAGAAAAAAAAATTGAACATGTCATCTTAAAGACAACAATGGCATCATCTAAAGGCATACTTTAAAACTTGCAGCAATATAATGTCTATGAAAGCTAAACTGAGGCTTAATTCGAAGGGAAAGGATCACACCATAAGAAACAGGATGTGTTGAACGCAGCTGATCAACCTTACACAGTGGCCAAGTTCAGTTTATTGTTTTTTATACTATTTTTCACCTTAGATCCATGTAATTTGATCTCTTCATGATATTTTCAACACAAATGGACATCCTTTGCTTTTATAATAAGCCCTAATTAAGCATTCAACAAGTTTGCCACAAGAATTAAATTAAAATTTGAAAAACATGTTATTGCAATCATTTAAATCTGCTGGCCAAAACATTCCCCCCCCCCCTCCACCAAAGGGGAAGGATAATAGATATTTCTAAATAATAAGAAACAAACATAAAATAACTACATTTAAATATATTCAGTGCCTAGACCCCTTGAAGAAGAGCGTTAGGAACCTGAGAAAAACAGTACTGAAACAAGTAAGCATTAGTTTTAGCCTTATTCCAACACTAGTGCAGATTACAATAAAAAGAATACTGGCAGACTGTTCTTTACTTTCCCCTCCATTTCTGACTGCAAACAAATCAGATTTATTTCCAAAAGATGCAGCAGTTTTACTAATGACCTGCTCTTTACTACTGCACATATGGAGACAGAAGGAGCTGTACCTGTTACAAAATGTAGGAAAATATATCCTTAAGGGTTGTATCTCCTGTATGCAAGATGGGCAAGGACTCATGATCCACACAGTCCTAGCTAAAACTAAACCCCGAAAGACAATGGGCTCAGCACTTTGAACTCTCAGTTTACGAGACAAAAACAAAAAACATGATCCTATGAAATCTCATTATTAATTATTAAGTGGAGATTTGAGCACTGTTTTCTATATGAAATCATATTACTAATACACATGCAGGACAGACAGTTGAATCTCTAAAAAACAACAAAAATCACATATAAAAAGTCACCCATGTACAAGTGCCTTCAATGAAAGACATGGTAATTATGCAAGGTTGTACTGTAAAGTTTACTGGGCAGTTTTCATGTAAGGCACCACAGTGGGCACACAGTCTGTTGTGTTCAGTTCTAAGGGTACTATACTCAATACTGTAGAAATGCCCTTATGTCTACTAAAGGATGCTAAATCTCCAGCAAGAACTTACCTACTCTATCACTGTCTTATGATTCACAATCAC